TCGCACCAAAGATTATTCAATGGTCCCATCGAACCATGGCTTGTCACAGTAAATGGTTTAAAAAGTTACCAAGCATATACTACCCATATTTGCACACAAGAAAATGATGACACATGGCCTGAAGACCCAAGAAACACATCTCCGTTGTAGAGATGAAATAAGTAATAGAGGTCTCAGCTCCTTCCTTCCGTCCCTTTTCTAGTTAGAGCAAGCTACTTTTAACTCTTATCTCATATTCTTCAAGGCACCAGTGCTAAGCCACAAAAAAACACTAAATATGTTCACCCAATTCATTCTTTTCTTGTTTGCAGAGGCCACCAACATCAAGGTTCTATTTAGTTAATTTCTCATTCAATTTCTAGTCATTTCCGAGTTCTAATTCTTTTATAAGACAATGGATGTAATTAGAACAAATATTTTAGTATTTGAGCTATTTCTACTTCCATGTTAAATTTTTTAAGAGTAGAAATTCATCTCACTTCTCATGTGGGAATTCAATTTCTTTTTTGAAGAGTAAGAATTTAATTTCCAACCTCAAGAAATTTAAGTTGCGAGTAGAGGTAACTCAATAACAAATAATCAAGTTTTAGTTACATATATCAAGACTAACATGAACAATTGAACTAGGAAATTATAGGAATTAAATAGAATATGAAGCAAAAATAGCATAAGGGATGACTCAAAGCTGATTGTATATCATGGCAGCATGGAGAGAATTTTGGCTTGACGCCTACTAATATTGGAAAAGCTTACAACTTCTGCAGATTTTGGTTGCCTATGCTTCGATTGCCATTTTTTCCAATCAGATGTAGCTTAACAATTAAAAAGTCAAACAACATCAAGAAGTAGAAGAGTTTCTGAGATTTATAGAACTATACTTACAGAGAACACTCAGCTCAAAGCTTGATGATCAATGGACAAGAAAGCAGAAGCTAGTGATATTTAAATCTGTAAAAAGGAGGCAGATTACTTTAAATACTCACCTTGCTTGGATTATTTCTTATTGCTTCATCATTAGAACCTTCTGTGAAGCACCAAGGGAGCTTTTGCAGTTCACACTCTAGCTCTGCCTCTAGTTGATCCATTTCCAGCAACTCAGGCTCTGGTTCTTCTGTAAGTACACTACTTGGATATTCACCATCATCTACTGTAGGGAGACCAGACACATTGATAGCCTGAGGACCTCCATTGTCATTAATAGACTTACTAAGAAGCAATTGTCTATTGTTGCCACTTATTCTTTTTGAGTTTGCAGTGACTTCATTTGCAGAACTACAAACTTGAATGGTCCGTGATGATTTTCTTCTATAAAGCTCAGTCTTTAATTCCTCAACAACTTTTGTCGTCTCATCCATTGTTGCGTTCAGCTTACTGATCTCAGATTTCCCAGCTGACATCATATACATTATTCCAACACCAAGGCCCCATCCAAAAAGAGAATTATCTAGAAAGTAGAATGTAAAGTAACATTTAGGAAAAAAAAAAAACAAACAAAAAAAGGGTAAAGTCATTGCTCCACAGACATAGATGACATTCATGCAAAATCTTGAACATAAAGATATACTGGACAACCAAACAATTGGAAAGAAAAAGGGAAAAAAACTAGGAAAACCAATTGTTTTTTTCCTTTGAGCAGTGCTACGGTTAGAAAACAAAAGAAAAGGAACTAAGAACATTTGTT